GGCCCGGCTGTCCCCTCAGCACCGGCCCTTGTGTCCACAGTGCCCGAGTACCAAGGGGAGCCAGACGAGATCTCCGTGCAGAAGTGCCGCGAAGCTGCCCGGCAGGTCGATCGCTCTGTGCCCTCTCCCGGGGGGGTGGGAGTCACACAGGGACATTGGGACATCCCGAGCGGCCCCGAGGAAAGGCAGCGACACCTCCGGCCTGGCTGCACTCCCATCACCGTCTGAGCCTGGTTTATGCAGGGTGATGGTGAATTCTCGCTGGTGACACCGTGTTTTGGCAGCCCCACTGCTGCTCCTCTGGCCTCCCATAGCCCTCGAGCAGCAGGAGGACGTGGGAGTTCCTTCAGTTCAACCCCTGTGGCAGAGACACAGTGTGTTCTGTCAGCTGTTCATTCCAGAACTGGCTCTGGGATAGGTGTCTTAAAAGCATCAAGTGAGGGTTGGGCTCAGACAAATGCAGGCATACCTCCAGGACACAGGTTTTCCCTCTCCTTGCCCTGCCATTCCCTCAGAAGGGCAGGGAGTGTTCAGTTCTGCTTATTTCCCTCCATATGAAACCTTCCCTGCTGTTCTTCAGCCACACTGGCCTGCCTAGGGAGAGTTTGTGTTTGATTGTGTCTGTCTGGTGTGGGTTGCCTGTGGGCTCATGATTGCCCTTGAGATCAAGTGAAATGTGAGCAAGGAAATGGTTTTGCAGGTAGTGCCTTCCTCTAGGTCTAATGTTTCCATCTGTTGGGCTTTCACTCTAGGTTCAGGGACCTGTTATAGTAGAAGACACCTGCTTGTGCTTCAATGCCCTGGGGGGCCTTCCAGGACCCTACATGTAAGTAGGAGGGAAGTTGCTTCACCTTTCATGTGCCAGTTAGAAGCACAGGAAGCAGGGTGGGATTCTTGGGGGATTCTCCATGTGCCAGGAGCAGTAGGGTCAGGGAAGTGATTACTAGTCTGTGTCCCCAGAATAGAATCAGACAATATCCTGAGTTGTCAAGGGCCCATAAGGATCAAGTCCATCTCCTGGCCCTGCACAGAACAGCCCCAAGAATCACACCATGTGTTTAAGAGCATTGTCCAAATGTTTCTTGAGCTCTGGCAGGCTTGGTATCATGTATGTAGTGCTTGGTAGTCTGCACTACAACTGGGTGTAAAATATGAACAATTTGAGTTGAGAAACATACTTTGGCATGTCAGTGCTCAGGAGTGAGAACGGGGTTATCTGCATGGACTTCAGTACTTGGTAAGTGAAATACCCACTGCTGTTTTCACTGCCCCATTCAGTTTAAGAGCTAAGTCTGTCCTTACTGGTAAATAGTCCAGAATGGGGTGATCTGACAGTATGTTGAAGAGGGATTCAAAGGTCTATGAAAATGTAGGCAACAATGTCTCAGGGATACCTGTAGAGAGGTATTAGTAAAAATTAATCTCTTTCTCCCTCCCCTTCAGAAAATGGTTCCTGGAAAAACTCAAGCCTGAAGGTACTGCCCCTGTGTTGCTGCCCCGCATGTAACTCCTTTCCCCTTGAAGTGGATCCCTGTCCATGCCAGGTTCTGCCCAAGTGTGCTTGCCTGTTTCATAGCTGGTTCCTTTCCTGCCTGTCTAGCTCTCTCTCTTCACATCCTCTCCTCGAGCCTGTTCTGTGCCCTTCTTTCTGGCATGTTGTTTTCCCTGGTAGCTTCATCCCTGGATTCCCAGACTCCTGCCTCTGCAGGCTGGTTGCAGGGCTTGTGGGAACTTCTTGTTTGTCATCAGTGTGACCTGGAGGAGCTGCTGCTCCCTGTGGCTGCTGTGCAAGCTCCTCTCCACTAATGCTCCACTCCCCTCCCCTGTCATGCACTGACTGCCTTGATCCCAGAGTTCAGAGTGTGACTGGAAATCCCACACTGATCTCATGAGCATTAATCACACCAATTCAGATATGTTTCAGCCCTCTGGTGCTGCACACTCGTTTGTTTCCTCTCCCGGATTCCTAGCAGGGCTCTGCAGCTCATGCTGTGAGATTTGAGGCTCTGGCTTCAGTCGTAGGAGGGATCCAGCCAAGAGCACCTTGTGCCAGAGCTTTGTCCCCCCCGTAGTTTTCCGTGGCGGATGGGAATGCGATGCGGAGTGTTCCCGCGGTCCGTCCCTAGGTGGGTGTGTTGCGCTCCGAGGGAGCTGCAGTAACGGCGAGATCCTCTCCGTGTCGCTCAGGCCTGTACAAGCTGTTGGCTGGGTTTGAAGACAAGTCTGCCTACGCACTCTGCACCTTCGCGTTCAGCACTGGGAACCCGGAGGAGCCAGTGAGGCTGTTCAAAGGACAGACCCACGTAGGTGGTGTGCCTGGGGAAGGGAACATGCTGAGGGAGAAGGGCTGTGATGTGAATTTCCTAACAGCATTGGCTCTGTTGAGGACAATTTTAGCGGCCTCTGGGGCACTGAACACCCTGGGAGCTTCTCCATGTTGGGAACAGGCCGAGGGAGAGTGCAGCTGGTGGGTGGTGGATGCTGAGTGCTGCAGCTCTTTTCCAGGTGGGAACTCTGCACGTTACCTCAGTCTCTTCAGCCCATGGTCTCCCTCTGACAGGGTTGTGTTTGAGTGCAGTTTTTGGCTCTGTTATTTGGAGGGGTAATGGCCCTGTCAACATAGGGCAGTGTGAGTTTGGGGCTGCCAATTTTGGTCACATCCTGGGGCGGTGCTGGGAAGGAAGACAGCACCACGCAGTGACCCTGTGGTGGGCACAGCATGAGCTGTGGCTGCATGTAGCTCCTCAGTCGGTGTTTGAAATGTGACTGCAGTGGATGTGCTGCAAAACCATGGCTTGTGGGGCTTTTTTGCTTTCTCATGGCAGGGGCTGATCGTGGAGCCCAGAGGCCCTCGAGATTTTGGCTGGGATCCCTGCTTTCAGCCAGATGGCTACAACCAGACGTAAGTGGTGTTTCCCCTATGGCTCCATACGTAAGGCAAGCCAGGGATGAGGTTGTGTGTCAAGAGGAACCTGCTTGTGAGGAAGGGTGGCAGGGAGAACACCCTCCTGGGTCTGAATGTGGGGGATTACAGGGAACCCTTGGGTCAGGATGGGGGTTGTTGGCTGTGCCAGTGTGTCACTGTGGATGTGCTGATGAGCCATGCAGGGAGGCAGCGAGCAGGGGGAGAGCTCTCTGACTGGGGGGACATGTGCTGTAGCATCTCTGCTGCTGAAGCTCATGGTTTCTGTCTCCTCCAGCTATGCCGAACTGCCCAAGGCAGTGAAGAACTCCATCTCTCACCGGTACAGAGCCCTGAGTGAGCTCTCTGCCTTCTTCCTTCAGAGCGACTCGACAGAGCCCTGCTCCGCTCCCAGCTAGCCCCGGGGCCTGGGACCCTGTGTGTCCATGTCACATCTCTGCTCCACTGTGAGCTGCCATTAAAGCTGCTCCTTTTGAACCCACTGATACTTGTTTCATAGAATCATAGAATCAACTGGATTGGAAGAGACCTCAAGGATCGAGTCCAACCCTACCGTGGTTACTAGCCCATGGCACTAAGTGCCACATCCAGTCTCAGCTTGAAAACCTCCAGGGATGGTGAATCCACCACCTCCCTGGGCAGCACATTCCAATGCCTGAGCATTCTCCCTATAAAAAAAATCTCTTCCTAATGTCCAACCTAAACCTGCCCTGGCAGAGCTTGAGTCTGTGCCCTCTTGTCCTGCTGCTGGTTGCCTGGGAGAAGAGACCAACCCCCACCTGACTCCAACCTGTCAGGGAGTTGCAGAGGGTGATAAGGTCTCCCCTGAGCCTCCTCCAGGCTGAACACCCCCAGCTCCCTCAGCCTCTCCTCATGGCACTTGTTTCCCCCCTGGCTTTGTTGCTTCCGAGGTGCTGCCGAGCCCAGCGGCTCTGGGTGGGTGAGGACGCCTCGGGGGCGGCTCTGGCCCGGGCAGTCCGTGCCGCCCTGTCAGCAGCGACTCAGAGCGCGCTCCCG